AGTTATCCATAGGTAATACAATAATAAGAAATTCTAGGGACCAGTTAAAAGTTTGAGGCATCGACGATTTGGAGTTAACCGATGTGTACTGTATTATGATATTGCATTTGTGGTGATTTTATTTTTATTTTACAAGTATTTATATCCATATGTAATACAAACATTTAGTGGAAACTTTGATGGGCTGTTAGGCGTAATAATAGTGACATTATACAACTTTACTGTTTAGTGCCGACATAATAATATTTCGTTCGCATGATGCCGAATTTGTCAGTGCTTAAACAGTCGTAAATCTTAACGAAATACATCGATTATAAGTGCGTGAGAGTGTAGCGGGCTATAACGTATACGTAGGTAGGTAACACGGCTTTAGATATTATTATTCATACAGGACATAGGTAATAAAAAATTTCACAATTTCCATGAATTAAATTTTCAATATCATTTTAATTCACTTTTAATCACTTTAATTTTTAATACTATAAAAAAACCGATTGAATGACTTGACACGAAAACGTTATTTGTGTGAATTAGTACTGTAAACCACTTATTTTTTATTTTAACTTTAGGTCGAACATCATTTTCAAAGTAAATATTTATTATACCTAAATAAAATATAAGGATTAAGGATTGAATTATTAGTTTATGTAGGTAGTGATATCAACTTTGTGAGCAAGATGATCTTTGAAGTCCATAAACTCGAGCACTTCACTTTTATTTTAATTAGTTTTTACTTTATTTCAAACATATTAAGTAATATAAAATATAATTGTTAAGAACCTAATTTAGGAACTATTTAATTATCAATTTTAATACAAATAAATAAAGTTTAATAATTGTCTCTGTATTAAATAATTTTATTAAACAAGAAAAGTATATTCTTTTGTCTGTACAACTTTTTCAATTGTATACACAACTGTATATGCAACTGCGACATTTATTTATTTTTTGCTCACGTACGTACTTTTAACCTAACTAACCTAACCCTAAGCGGCGCAGCACAACATGCGCCGGACGAATTTCTTCGTCCGGCTCCAAATTGTGAGACGCCGTTTGGGATGTATAGGCTCGCTGTCCAACAACTCCTGACGAGTGACGTCACTACATTTGTCATGCGTTTCGGATTCTGGTTGGTCCATCAGTGAACAACGCAGAAGGTTGTTCGGTGCTGAGGACCACCGACAGTCACCGAATTCGCTTGTCTTCAGGATGCCAGCCGATGTCACCCGAAGTTCCGGCTCAGACGTACACGTTGTCGTGTCAATTCTGTCCGGTGTATCCACAACGGGGGAACTAATCGCATGGTCGACCAGCGACATGTAATGACGGAACGTTTTTCCTGCATAGTTTGCTACGGGCATATTGTTTTCCGGTGGGCTGGCTGGTAGGAAGTTTTGTCCGATCTCTTTGGGCTGCTGAAGTGACTTGGACGACTGTTCGAACGGGACTGACAACGACTGATAAATCTCGGCGTCTCCTACCGAGTGTCGACGACATGTTGAGGCCACGTTTGGCGTCGACGAGTATCGTATTATGGCCGGTCCTGTTCTAACTCTGGTTGGAAACGTCGACGGTATGTGAAATTCAGCCGATCTCAGCTCCTCAAACACTAACTTCATCTTTTCACTCTCTGTCAATCGCAGCTTGATGGATTCAGACGAGGTGAACATATTGAAAAATACGTATTAAGCTAGTACAATGATATAGCAGACACGCAGGTAGATGCTTCAAAGTAGAGTAGCAAGTAGGTAATGACTCATATGTCAATAATCTTCGAGTGACAAAAATAATTTATACTAGTCAAACCTATCGCAACGATGTTTTGTTGATTTTGTATCAGCCAGAAAAATATCAGATACTCTATTAAATATTGTTACAAATACATTAATTTAAAATTTAAAAAAAACAAACATTTTGATTATATGAGTCTTTGGTCGACCTTTATGTTTTTTTTTTAAACAGGAATTCGTGATAATATCAATTTTATTACACCATGAAACCTGTAGGAGGAGTTAGCTGAAGAAAAGATGAAAAGGTGGCAGTGTATACGTTAGCACCTCTTATTTTCATAGATTAATAGCCAGATATTAAATTACTTAAATGACAATAATAAATTATATTATAACATGTTGTATACATTTTATAATTAATGTTTATAATTAATTATAAATTATTTTTTATAGTTTGTTAAGGTAAACGGAGTCAATTTAGTAGATTGCAAGGTTCCACAGATTGATATTGGGACAAGAAATAAACCACACTAGTCCCCCTCCCTACAAGTAGGTTTTTGAGTGAGAAATACTTTTCACGTTGTGTTAACTAAGTATAGCTTAAGAGGACGCGATACCCGCATGTGTTGTCTCCGTCTTACAAGTGCGTGACATAGCAAATTGTATACTCAGCAGAACACGTGTAGCTCCATTAATTTAAAAATTAAAGTGAACTGACCTCTTATAAAATCTAAAGGTAAGATTATTATCTAGGCAACCTCATAGACTTTTTATTATATTTTTATTTTAACACGAGTTATAAGTATTTTAAGATGTATAAAAAATTTACAATTTTAAAATACTCATAACTCGCGTTAAAATTAAAATATTATAAAAAACCTATCACGTCCTCTTAATAATAACTATAATACTATATAAATATAATATAAAATATCCTAGGCTGACAATCCGTCTCCGCTCAGAATCGTTTTTCGTACACAATGATATTAATATATTATATCGTCGTTGAATTCAAATTTAATACCATTAATATTTAAATTATAGTGATCCATTTGTAATCTACAGTACAGCAGAGGCGCAGAGCGTCACCTACTTACCTGCTTCCTAAAAATGTTGTCTATACATTTTAATAACAAATTGATTATGAGTATATTTATATACCTAAATCATGAATGTATTATCTTCTGACAATAATATTTTTGTTATGGCTATTTGACAAAAAATGTTTTATTTATAGTAAGTTGTAACTTGAAATTACTAAAATAATTTTAAAAATGCATTATTTAAAATAAATAGGCACTTTCATAAAATCACAAGACTGGACAGTACCAACTATTAAGACCGTTCAATCACTGATTTTTACTGATGTGAGAGATTTATATAGACACCCAAACTTGACTTTTAACCACGATTTAAGATATAATATCTTTAATCGTGCTTTTAACCATTCCCGTCCTCGAAACGAGACGCCAAGGCAGTGGATAAGTATGATTGCTCTAATTACATATCAATAAGAATAACTATACTATACTATACATATTTGTGGCTCTAACTTTTTAGTTTTAACCATAGATACTATATTTGTTCTGAACGACCCCGGGCGCGACCTTCTATAATTCAAACGACTAGACCTCCAAAATCGGTTAACACTCACAGCAAACGTCGGGTTACACCAACGAGCTGAAAGCTAGTAAAAGAATAAAATGTGTCGAATGATGATTTTCTTCTTTTGTTCTTGGATAAACATATATTTTAATAGTATTATTTTGTCATGTGAGTGCTGAGTGAGTGCTCATACTATTAAGAACTCTATTCCTACATTACGGGGTCAAATTTTGATTACGTTTTCGATTTATTAAGCACTGGTGCAAAATACTAGTGCATTAGTGCAATATTTGTGGAGTGCCGGAGCGGTAGAATTACTTTGTCAAATCGAAAATGGTATTAGTACCTACCTACTACCTATAAACACAAAATTACGTTTTAAGAAATCATGATTCGGGCTCAAAACAGATAAATTATTTTATAGATTCCTTGGTACAAGCAAACACGTAGCATTTGGTATTAACTATAAAGTATAAGCTAATAACTAATAAGTAATAGCATTAGGTAATAGCTATACAATATGAATTAATGAATTATGATAAATTAATGCTTCACTGCTTGAGGTCCATGGATTATGATCACGGCTTTAGATAGTATCTAAAACCGTGGTAGGTAATCATAAATCGGTCGGAGAAACTAAATATATCAAAAAGATCTGAACACCGTCACCACTTTATGTGAACAAAAAAAAAAAAACCAAGAAGTAGGTAAATACGTAAATTATTACGATATGAGAAGAATTTCTTGTTACAACGACCACACACGGATTCGTAATATTATTAACAGAAGGTTGTATATATATATTACGACTTGTTACTATATATTATTATTATGATTATTTTATATATACAAGGGACGTTGTGCAGAGCTCCGAAGATAAATACGATATTTTAGTATCGTTATAACCGTTATTATTATTATTTTTCTCCGCACTACCGGAGGAGAAAAACATCCGTTTGGCGCGAGATGACGACGGGCGAAATATTATGTACAACATTAAGATAAAGCTGACGGGCAGAAGACATCATTTTCGGCTATGTACATAATATATATATATATACACGACGATATAATATTTTGTTTCTGGTATATACCTATAGTAATAATAACAATAACACGAGACTTTATATATTATGTATTTATGTATAGCACAGCGATATTGTAGAGCAAACATAAAAAAAAACATTCTATCACTTTTTTTTAATAATCGATGTTGGAAAAAAATCTATTCATAGCGCACTTGGTTGAACATTATTTATAAATATTTATGATGTTTCCAATTATTTAAAATATTTTGTAGAATCCCAAATCGATCTTGTTTCAATATTTGATTTTGTCTGTATGTCATACTTGTAGTTATAAACGATCCACGGGTGTTTAAAATCTTTATCAATGAAATACTTGACATCAATATTAAATTTGGATTTGAATTTATAAAAACTGCATAATTATTGTTAATCGGATAGAAGTTTTCAACGAGTTCTCCTCGAAAATGTGAGAATGTGAGAAGTATGAGACTATGAGATGCATCAAATTTCGCTATAAAAGACAGAAGGCAAGGATCACACTTCTCCAAACAACGAAAAATCAAAACTTTCCACTTAGACGATAATAATAATAACGGTGATAATATATTAATCTTAAAACAACGACAATGAAACTTACCCAAGACAATCGCCAAGGTTTTCGTGGCTTTTCTCTCTTTCCTTGCCGAAGACTTTTCCCGTTTCTTCCGGCTGGCCTTGTTCACCTTGTATATGGTGAAGCGGCTGCTCCCTTCTGTTGTCGTCTTGTATTCTTTTTTCGAACACCTCGTACCGTCCTCCTCGGATCCGTTCCGGAGCATCGACGACAGAGAACGTTTCACCAACGACTGTGTCGTTCGACTGGACCGGTCTATCGGCTGTGGTGCGGCCGTCGGGGTGGCCGTGGCGGCCGTTACCGTGACCGTGGTCGTCAATGTCGTTGCCGACGCCGTGGTCATCGTGATTGGTGACGACGCTGCCGAGGAATCTCTGCGTTTTCCTGGTACCTAAATTAAGGTAAATCCACTAGTAAATCATCGCTATAGCAAAGCATTAGGTATATAATTTGTGGTGGTGGTCCGCAGTTTTTTTTGCCGGTCTAAAAGATGAAAAAAATACGAACAATATTTTAACTTTGCAGGACCTTCTAAACTGAACAAACTTTTGTAATCCTAGGTTCAGCGAGCTTGTGATTCTGAAATAAAGCCGAAGTGTCATCGCTACTGGTTTTACACAAACTGCGTGAAAACAGCTACGCAACCGTGAAGGTGACTCGATAAAGGTTATGCGTAGGGATTAGGGGACGGATTTATAACATTATGTAAATTTTAAAACCATAATTCTATTAAAATTAGATGTTTTAAATCTGATAAGAAATATTCAAGGTAAAATAATACAAACTTTACTTTACATAATATTGTGCACGTTTAGTGTAATAATTATCAAGCTGTATAGTAATTAAGTGTGTAATCTAAGACAATACATTATATCTACGTATTTTAAATTTTTAAATGATAATTGTTTTGGTCATAATATGGCGAACACGATGAGAATTCATGTGAAAAGACTGAAAGGATAGATGATTTTGAAAACATATCAATTGTTTTTATTCAAGGCGATTAAAAAATATTTTACTTTGAAAAATTAATCGGTCACAAAAAGTGTGAGCTTCATGATACTGAAATGCCACTGCACTCATTACAAAATCAAATTATACTTTTTTTTAAAATTCCTTTTTAAATTTTTTTTTTCTAATTATTGCATCATGTAAAAATACCATGATTGTTCGTGATTTATTTTTTAATTAAATGAGGTTGTAGTTTTCCAAACATATATCTGAATAACAATAATGTTTATTGAAGTAACAAAATTACCGAGAAACCACTGTATAAACTGTACAGTGACTTACCAAAAGTTATTTCATCCTCATTTTATTCATTAATGATAAATTTATACAAGTTCTGATTTTTCAATTTAAGTTTTCTTTTACCATACTTTTTACTTTACACTTAGGTTTGTGTGTAATTTTTAGAAGCGTTTTTTAGAAATACAAACTATTTTGTATTAGATGACATTCATTCCTTTTTTTTTTTAAATTATTGATACCTAGTCAGAATATTTTGTTAAAAATTGTGTTGTTTATAAGTTAAAATTTAGATAGGTAGTTTCTGAAACTTTCGTCTCTAAATACTGATGGTTTTATGATATAGGTATGCCATTTAACATAATATTATGAATAAAGATATGGGTCATTAAAGTTAATATGAGGCTATGATGATTAGAAAATCATAGAAATCAATTTCATTCAAATTTTGGCATAAGAAAGAGAACGATTACGCATCCTCCCAAGAGAATGCATAAAATAATCATCTAATTAACAATTTTCATTAAAGGGGATAATACTTTACATAAAAAAAAAGAAATTGTTAGCTCTCTCAATGGATACAGACTTCTTAAATGAGATACGAATTGAAACATTTGTATAAATGGTAGTACCTATATAAATATAGTTAAAAAAATCTATAAACACAATTTGAATATAATCATGAATGCATTATTAAAGGATAACGAAGGAAATGAGAAATGCGCACGCTTAACTATTCTCTGTTTATTATCTTACCAAATACCTTTCTGCTATAATCCTGTACATCAAGCGCACTTTGTAATATAATAGTTTAAAATAAGGTTTTTTTTATTTTACCTTATCACCGATCTTGTCGCTAATGGAGCTGACTGTTTGGTTAGGGTTTAAGACCCTTGTTACAAGATCGATATCCTGTGGTCTGGAACCCAAGTTTCCGTTTGGGTCGGCAGTTAGGTTGGATGGCGTGGCCAACGTCGCCACCATCCTGCAACACAAATATTTAGCTCGATATAGGTACTTCGTAGCAGGTTCTAGTATAATAGTATAATCGTTATCTCGCATATTATGTATTATTATTGTACCGAGGAAACAATGCAATGGATGCAGCAGTGATGTAATGTATAATATAATATATATAGAAATGCAAAGTGCGAATAAGGACAGTTCATAAATCTACTTTATACCACCCAGCTTAAGTGTTACATTATTTATCAGGGATTTGTTCTTTAGGTATTATATACTTCTAAAATGAGCTTTATAGGTACGAAATAATGTAGACTTATACTTCGACGATTTTTATTTCTACTACCGAGCTGTAGTTGTAGTGGGCAACGGTTGCTCAATGGGATTTGTAAAAATAATTTTGCACCTTATACCAAACCAGCCAGTGACGTAGGCTAGGTTAAAATAAAGGAACAGCTGATAAGTATTCTTGTTTTACAAGAACTAGATGAAATACCCCCCCTCCCCCAGCAAAAAAAAAAATGTTCTGGTTACGGGTTACAGCACTGATACTGTCTAACTATAATTGATCTATATAGCGAAACACGCGGGCATCGCATAGCTCCTACTACTACAGAGAAAATAGGCCCACGAACAATTATTATCTTCGGCGTACTTATACTGGAAAACGTAATAAAGTTTGCTTTACCATCATCGCGTGGAAAACTTTTTCAATTTTCTCGCGATAGCGGTCGGCGCGCGATTCAATTAAAATAACAATTATCGTTCGATAAAACATCTAAAGCATTCGCTGAATTAAAACGACGCTGCAGCACAGTGACATCGAGCGTGCAGACGCGCACGAATAAGACAATTATTATTACTATTATTACTATTATTATTATTATTATTATTGTAATAACGATCGTTCGCGTTCCGCCGAATCGTCGTCACATTGCAAACTCGAATGGGTCCAACGCACCGCGGACACCCGGCCGGTCCGACACGACTACCCGGTGAGCGATTATTATTTGCAGTCATTATATTGGAAATGATAGCTAGTTTTGCCCTTGTACGCTGGCAATAAGCCGTTGGCGGCGGTGGCGGGTGTGTACGTCCGACCGCGATTAAACGGGACGAGAAGTCTCATCAAAGCACCGAGTCGTCCCCACGCCGACTTTCCATTATATCATGTCTCGCACGTTTACAGTTCGGCGGTTATCGTCGTCGTCGTCGTCGTCGTCGTCGTCTACGCAAAGTTTTAGTTTTAGTGTCGACCCATTTGAACGGTCGTCCGTGCACGACTCTAACGGACAACTGAGGATCGACGCAAAGTTATAACTTTTAGTTTATTCGAGCCGCGTCAGGAAATATGAATTATTATTATTATTATTATTATTATTATTATTATTCCTTCAGGGATTGACGCTTTATATTCATTAATAACAATATCGTATTATGGCTACACGACAATTTGTTTTTCGCATAAACGCGATCATCAAAATAACAGTCTTAGCCTCACGAGAGATTATTCGTTAACGGTCACAACATTCCTCTAAAGTGTGTATTATATATGATTAGAAATGGAATTAATTTCCAATTTTTTCACATAACACACATTGTATCCTCTTATAACACTATATTACCGCCTTGGTGTATAGCTATAGTTCAGTATTATTATAGTAATTTGTATAGTACTCCGTATCAAAATAATTACCGTCTTCGGTTTTTCTCAATTTGAAACAGTGTTAGAAGTCGAAATGAAAGTTATTGATTTTAGTTACAGTTTTGAATTTTTTATGAAATTACTTTTGATTTCTTAGACAGTTTAACGATATTTAAAGTTGATTTTGCGAGATTAAGATTTAAAGAAAATGGGTAGGATTTCGATAGAATATTAATGGTAGGTACATAATACAAACTTAATATAAAACAAAAAATTATCCACAAAATTGACATAAGTATAACTAGGAGTTATATTTAAAAATCATGTAAATGTATTTTAAATTGATACATTATACTAGGGATTATAATTATTCATACATATTTGAATATTTTGTTTTATTTTTAAAAACGTATTTTAACATAACTGATTTATTTATTATTCCAAGAACAAACTAATTGGAAAAGAAGAAATTATCATCGTTTTTACTTTTTTTTCTGGAATTGCAAGTTCAGAGAAAAAACCATTATTATTAATTCATAATTATATAGCCTGAATTATTGTGTTAACTTTGATCGTTCATGATAAAAAAAAATATATATATGTTTGAGTGGAATACCGAAAGAGAGGCATTTAGTTGTAAGCTCATGAAAATTCTGTTTATTATTCAACATGAATGTTTATCTTCATATTGAATAATATTATTGCAATAATTATCTAATATATTATATTAATGTCAAATTAGTTATTTAATATTTTCAGAAGATATATGAATCATAAACATGATAATTGTTTTTAAATTAATAAAAAGTAAACTATACCCATTAGTTTTATTTACGATATAGTTATGAATTATATCAGTATTTGCTTTGTTGAATTAATCATAGTTAAACTCAGTTAATTATGAAACAATTCTTAAGTTTATTTTATATCTTTATTCAAACAATAAATATTGAATCCACTATGCTAAAATAAAACGTTTTTAACAAATGTTACAAATTATAATTTTAAATTCTTAAATTTGTTCAGTGATTTTTCATCAAATAGCTGAATGATTTCTAAAAAGCTATTATATTCTGCGATTCAATTTATTGCATTTAAAATATTTAACTTATTATCAATAATTAATATTATATTATAATTTAATTAATCAAACTCTTATAACAATTCTAAAATGATTTAAAATTGAAGACCCTTAAATAAAAGGAAGTTCAATGATATTTAATTTATGTTTTAAAAAATGGTTATACTGTTTGAGAACATAATACAAATCGTATAATATACAATAAAACTATCAATTTCAATTTATTTTATTTAAAAAATGATACTTTTTCTCTCATTTTTATTTGATGAATATATTAATTAATATAATTATCGTTTAATAACTTATCTGGATTTCAATATTGACTTAAGTTTTTTTTGTGAATTAAAGCTATGCTGAATGGTTTTTAATTAAATAATAGTATCTCTAACTTTAGGCTGACAAAAATGTATAATATTTAGAAACATTTACTTATGTTGTTTTAAAATATATTTTGAATAATTTTTTACTGTTGCTGTATTTTATTTTTGGCTCTCAGTATTAATTTATTTTGAACGCAAAGTCGTGAACCATAAATGGTATTTAATATTTATATATTATGTTTTCCCTAGGTTTTATATTATATCCTGTACTTTCATAGTTTACTAACGTCGTTTGTTGATTTTCATATCTAATTTAAATATTCTATGAAATTAAAAATCAAGAAATGAAACAATGAATACTTTATCAATGTGCTATAAGTTATACACAAATTAATTTTAAAAAGGGCTATCAACTGATGAAATATGTAAAGTAAACACAAACAATGTAAATCGATAGAGTAGACAACCTGTGATTTATGATTTGGTTTTTCGAACAACCGTATCTCTAAATTTTCCAAAATAAAATGATATAATAATTAACATTGAGTTTGTAGTTTAATAGGACGAGTTTCAAATATTAAGTCAATTATAACATAAGAACGAGTACTAAGACAGATTTACACTTACGCAGTTTCTTCCATGACCGTGGACAGGATAAAGTCTGTAGATTTGTCGTTATGTATGATGTGACAGTCATCCGATCCGGGTGATCCGCCCTCTTCTTCGTCGTCCTGTTAACACAAAAAACCCATTAAAACACCCCGAAAGCATACGCATTATTATGTGTGTTATAATGATAGCAGAGGACATTGCGTGACCCACTCAGTCGAGTTTGTTGTGTACGTATACTGATAAAATACAAGGGTTTTTTTTATTTAAACATAATATCGAGAAAATTAGAAGTGATTTTTTGAAATTTACTCGGAAGTTTATAAATAATATATATGTATATATATATGTACCTAGGTAATCAAAATAAACCAAAAGAACTGTTTTATAATATAATATAATAATACCTTTATACGTATAGGTACTTATTATAATTTAACAAAACGTAGGGATAAAGTATTTTTGTACATTCCCAGATATGTAAAGTCGTTCAAAGATATCTCCAGAAGAATAATTAACATTTTAATGTTATCGTGTCATTTATATGTGTCGTTTGATATATTGATAAAACTAAACACTTCTTTATTCTACTTTTTCATTGAAATTGATTTAAATTCCATTTTAACAAGACAATTCAAGATACGTCGCAAGAAATAAATTACTGTAGGTACTACCCAAATATACATGAGTATATTAAATGGTCGAATTTAGTTTTCTGTCAAATAGCACACCTAATTTTAATTTATTCTCTCTTTCATACTTTTTTGTTATTATAATATTTACTAGTAAAAACGTGTAGGTATCCACGCAAAAATAGTATTCTGTTGGGTGTATTTTATAACTAACTATAATCCAAATAATTTTAAAGACTAAATATTTTAATTAAACAAAATTACATTATTCTAGAGAATAATAGTATACAATGCACTATTAAGATTTTTACTGTACTGATGTATAACAATAATAAAATAATGAATAAACTAAATTAATTCTATGTATTAAATAACCTAAAAAAATACTAGTGAAACTGATTTTATAAAATTCAGACTGATTATCTACTTTTAATACTACAATATACCTTATTTAGCAATCAAAACGAATAGTGGTTTGATTTATAAATTCATATTTCTATGACATGAGTTATTTGTGTTTACGGATTTCGAATGAAATTGCTCCTAATTTTATTTCATGATTGTATTATTTATTCATTAAGATTTGAAAAAATAAACACGTACAAATTATAATTTGTGTACACCATGATTTATGAAGTATTTGAATATTTTGAAAATACTTTTGAATTAATTGTGTTAAGCGTGTTTTAGTGTGTATTTGCATTACAATAATATAATCGAATTGATATAATATGATGGAAACTTTTTCAACTAGTACTCAAAGAACCAACGGTTTTCGTGTATATTCGTACTTAAATAATAATATAAAGAAGAAGAATAAGAACAACAACAAGAACAAGAACAGGACGAATAAGTAGAATACGAAATAATATATTATATTAGTAATGAAGAACATAGTCTTCACACATTTACATTCCCCGAGGAAATATATAGTATTTCTTAATATTTATTTATTTTTTGACTCAAACTATGAAAAATGTATAACATGAAATATATTTTGATGTATAAATATATACAGTATACATACTGTTGGAGTATTATTGTAGTATATAAGTGTTTTACTGTAAATTTATTGTGTTGAAGTTAAATAATGTCGAACGAATAATCATACTTTTTAGGCAGTTTTTGGCATTCGACAATTGGAATGATAGGCATAGGTACTAAGTAATAAGATACAATTAATTTTGGTCAAACATAACAATTTAGTTTTTTTTGTCGGTCTGTGAAATGTTTGAATACCTATTTATATTCACATGCGTGTATAATATGAATTATTAACTATATAAAATGTAAATGATTGATATTGAAATATTTATTTCAACAACTATTATAACTAAGTATGAATAAAACATTTTATAATATAATATTTTGTAATCTATTATAATATACTTCAAAGTTTAAGCAGCATTTGAATCATAAAGCAATACAAATTCAATACACTTATTCGTTATGACATAAGTCGTAATGTACAAAATTGGAATAAGAAATTAAATTTTTTTCTTTAAATTTTTGTATTTAACATTTTTGAATTATGTTTATATTTTTAAATAACTTTTAAATAGTAATTTTATTTAACTCATATTATTATTTCGTATTGTTATGGCCGCGCTTTTAACTCAAAATACAACGTACTTAAAAACTTTCAAAACTTTATTTTTTCATTTCTTAATCCAGAAATATTCAAAATATTTAAATATCCAATAAATTAAAAACCTATATAATACTTAAATATTCATAATATAATCTAGAAAATATTATAACTTACATTTCATAAAAACGTATGACCATAATAATTATTGTTATTCCGCATTTATATTTGTGGTCGAGCAATACACATACTTTATCATTAAATATTCGAAGTATATACTATTATATAGGAATTTAAATGATTTGCATCTTAAATTAAAACTAATAGTGAACAAACACTTCGGTTTTCAATACAAATAATAAATATTGTTCAGTTTTTCTTTACCAAATAAATATATGTTATCAAACAGTATATTAGACTCTGGTAGATGTGTTTCGTTATTTTTACTTCGTTTAATGTTCAAACATCATAACTGAATGTAGTTTATCGTAACATATATACAACAAATATCAATTAAGACAAATATAAAGTTTCTTTTTAAGTGTTGTTCATAAACTACAGCTATAGAACAGATTCGTTCTTATTTTAAATATCGGTGATCGTATTGAAAATATGCTTATACGGCATCAATCAATTAATCTATTTATTAATTCACCAATGACATGCATCAAAAAAATTAAATATCATAAAAATTAATCCATTGTAATTAATAATCTTAAGCACCAATTCGTGTACACAATAAGTATTGTATAACCATTGCCCATTGAATTGGATAAGTATGCATGTAATGTGTGTTACATATTACCACTGTTTGCCATTATGCTCTCAATTATTATTTATAATAATACGTTTTATACCTAAACATGTGTGTATTAACAGGATCAGCATTGTTCTGTATCGAAACATATTAGTTAACTATTTTGATGCGCATGTTTTAATACCTGACTTCCGCTTCCGGTGTTGGTTGGCCCTTCATCAATGATGGATGAACTTCCGGGCGCTAATGAGGCTGTAGCCAGCAACGTGGTCTCGGCTAGTCGTCTCCTGGTCTGTGCAACGTTTTCGATGATGATACCCGGTTTCATGTCTCTGCTTAGCTGTGGTCTTCTCGCCGCCTTTGCTTTTCTCGCTCTGAGGTTTAATGCCTGTAACGAACATAAAACATATTAAGATATGCAGTATTTAATATCATTATAATCGAAAACCACTTATATTATATAAATACGTAATATACCGACGTCATATCAATGGAATAACGTCATATTTCCATATAAAAATGGCATACTACACGTCGTTCATTCGATCCATTGAAAACATTTACAAAAATGTATTTAATCGTAAATATTTTATTATACCTTATTCTTGAATAATGTGTATGATAACGAAAAATTAATTATTTGATATCCAATTTCTTTCAAAGATTACGACTTCATTTCTACTGCTTATCATTCGTTAAATCAACAAATATACATGTAGAACAATATAATATAGAATTATTACATTTTGGGTCAATTTTAACTTTTAAGTATATTACTTTCAGCCAACGACGTTAGGGTTGCCGAAGAAACGAAAAAAAACCTATCTGATAGCAATAATAATATGGAGTATATTATCATTTAAGATACTTATCAATATTTATATAACGTAATAAATATATTATGTTATATAATATATTATTATACTGAAGTAAGGAGAGCGGAGATAACAAACTAACAATATTCAGTATAAAATGATCAGTGTTCGTCGAATCGACGAATGGTGAGCGTTAAAGAGTTAAGTATATTTTGTTCAGTTTTCTCGACTGTATGTACTACAAATATAATATATATTTTATAGCTAATATTGGCTCGCAGACATTCGGCTAAAAATAAAAAATAAAACAGAATTATAAGATTTAATAAAATTAATGTTCGCAAACACATTTTGAGGTCTTAAAAAAACTTTAATTATTCATAACGATAAAATCAAACTGTATTTCATTAATTAATATTAATTTGATTACTGTAAAATTTAAATTATTATATTTGTATTTAAACTTTTTTTCGAAATTGATGATATTAATAGTATTGGTACATAATTGTCGATAGGTATAATTTGTACTGTTATACACTTAATATAATATTTCAAAGTATAATTATCAGTACTTAGATCATATATTATGAAACACGTGTAAATGTGTTATAATGAAGTCATTGTGAAATATTCAAATAATATATTATAAAGGTACAATGTCTGATTGTATGATATAGGCAAACACAGCTAGTTAGTAAACAGCTAAATATGCGTTTTGATACAACAAATTATATCACATAAATTAAACAAAACTAATGGCAATCGTCGAAAATTACACGTAAGCATGAAAACGTAAAATATACATAATATATGGGTGTTTCACTAAAATTGCATACCTACATTATGTATTATAAACACACATCTATTCCAATTTATTATTATTACTAGGTAGGTATTATTGTTTTATTGAACCAAAATGTATTACCCACATCTGTAATATAATATGATTTATATACATTTTTGTAAAAATGTTCATTTTACTTTTTATGTATTGTGTCTTTTTAAAACGTATATGAAATCATTTGCCAGGGAAGCTGCAAAATTAATAATTATCATGGTGACATAATGCTGATATACGCAACACTTCGGTTTGAAATTTTACTCGGATGCTACTCTAGACATTTATTATGACTAATTTATGGAAATTATCAGTATTTCCCAAGAAATCGTGAAAAGGTACAATACTGCAAACCCGCGTTACAATAAATCTTAGTTATAGTATTGAAATACTATGGAAATAGTTCTAGGCGAATACCTTATATTTTCGCTTATAAATTAATTATTTTGGCACTTCGTGCCAGCGTTAATTTTAAAATAAAGACTCTTAAGAGGTTTTCTCAAATTTCGTTAAAATTTTGTTATTCAAAAATGCTTAATTTTTTTTTTCATATATAATATATATCTGGTTGTTCCAGTTAGTTGTTTCCATTAGAAATTTAAAAATATAATAATACACAAGTATTAAAGGTTATAGTTTTAATATTTCTAAGTAAAAAGTGAAATTATGAAATAAACAATGTTCGTTAATATTTTATTTTTTATACATTCACATTAGATATGTATATTTCCTTCCAAAGTATAAACGCATTAGACATAAGGGATACCGTAATTATTATCGTGTATCTACTGTATTTTATTTTCAAGTATGAATAAATTCCATGGCATTTATAACCTTATTTCGACCGGATATACGAACAATACCTACCTAATCATACGAGACAGTTGGCACAATGCATGCCGAGGAACAGCAGAACTAACATTCGTATAAATACGTACACGTAACTGTTGAAAAAAATACTAACGGGAACGCTAACCTCGTATACGGATAGACATGTGTGTGTGGTGTAAATGAGATTATATATCGAGTTAAGTATACACGAATATGTTTCCATACACAATAATATATACACGAGGGGTGGAGCTGTTATAGAGTTACCTGCATCCTGCGCTGCAGATAAGACGAAAGTGTATAGGTTAAAGTGGTTCGAACGTGTGTTGCGAGAGGGCTGAGAACGCGAACGCAAAGCGGTAAAGAGAATTCGAGAAATGCATGCGTAGAAGGATTCGGAATAGGAAACGACTAGGAGTAATTTAAAATGGCATGGAAATGTGCGTGGGGGGTGAGAACGATCGCGAAAAGTGAAGGGTAGTATTACGGTAGTCAAGGGCGGCGGGGTCGGGGTGTATGGAGGGGGGTAGCATCGAGTAAGGCGATTGAGGACGACCTCTCTTCTGCTGCCATTGCTGTGAGATTCGGTGACAAGGAAGGACGTGCTATGAGGTAGATATAATATGTATATATGTATATATAAATATATGCTATTATACTATAATATATTAATATCCATTTCCGGATATCGTTTGATGCTATTATTACAATAATGTGCTTTATTGAAGCTGACGACGACAATTAAGAATACACACTGAAATAATAATTTAAGCATCACATTAGTTATGTTATCTTTTTTTTCATAAAGAAGATAATAATATATTTTGTACAATATAGCTGCTACGCAATACATATTATAATACAATTTTTCTTTTTACGAAGTTAAACGATGTTTTATTAATTGTGTTAAGAATAAACGACCTACTTCTTTCATTAAACTATGTTAATATTATATTATTTATAATGAGTTTACTTTGAGTCAACTTTGGTCTTTGAAATCTGAACTAGTTTAATTGGTGTTCTTAGATAAATTACTAAACTTACAAGATAAAGTAAAATAGTTATTTAGAATCACAAAATACAGTTAATGAATTTTCAAAATTAACACTAATACTTTTCAAAAACAATCAGTACATAATGATGGCCACATGATTATGGATAGCTGTTCACTTTTAGAACAAAAACGTGATTATTGCAAAGTATGCAATTGCATGTTATCCTTATTATAGGTACGATAAAAAAAGTATATTATTATACATTATGATGGGAAGCATAATATGTAATTTAAAAAAAAATATTTTCTTTATATCAGTTGAAGTTATGAAAATATGCTTATTTAATAAGCATTGATTCTTTTGGTCATCTAGGTATTTGAAAAGTAAATTGTAAGTCCATAATGTACAAAAAATGTATGAATTGAAATACTAAGTGCGTAGGGACATTGAAATTATAACTTTGGAAATTATATACAATGCAAGATATGTAAAAAAGACATTAAGAGTATTTGAAATAAACGGGGGCTTGCCTTGAAAAACTTCTACCAAAAAATATATGGCGTATTGTGTACTTTATTTTATTATACCAATAATTTATTTTCATTAATTTGTTACTTAATCATTTAACTTTAAAAATCGACCATTTCACTTCGCCATATAATAATATCAGCTATCACAACACATTACTGTAATGGAATTGGATTAAAAAAAAAATTAACTGTATCATTTCGTTTGTATATTAAGCTTTTCAATTTATAAAATTACTTTAGGTTTTATCAACTAATCCATATAAAATTATTCGAGATTTTAATCAGTGAAATATATTATTATACGATTGTACATAATAATTAAGTTATGATAAATATAACAATAATAAGTTTATTGCGGGTAGCTTCTCACATGATTTATATTGACGAAACATGAGTTATTTGTATAGGTTTTTAGTATGTTTTTTTTTTGTTGGTAGGATTGATTGTAACACGTGTTTGGGTATGTGTGGCAAGGATGTGTTGCTAAAAAACCCCGGTGGTCACCCATCCGAGTGCTAGCAACGATGGCCGGTACGTACTAATGTTGTTTTACAAGCAAATAATTTACAATTTCTTTAATATTATAAATTAGTTATCAAAAGCTCTAATATTTGACAAACAACCATAATAATATGTTATTATGTAACTTATGAATAGTTACGTCGTATAACCACGTCATAATAAATGCAATATAAGATTAATATTTAATAATATTTGATTACAAATTTAATTTTTGTATTCAAATTGAAAAAAAATAATGAATAAAATGATTATACGTTTTACGGACAAGTAAACAATTCCATTCAAAACATAACGTTTTTGAGATAAATCAATATAAGTTAAAACAATTACTGACGTATACCAAATAATAAACTATAACGTGTAATGTATTACATTTTTTTCCCCAACTATTCTAATTTCTAGGACAATTTCAATTACATTATAATCATTTTAAAATATACACATTAAAACAATTAATAATTTGATAAACATTACAGTATATTGTTTGTTATTCTGAATAATGAATATTAAAATTCAATCACTTATGTTGGAATTCTTCAAGAAGATGCACAAAGTCAAATTATGAATTATTATAATTGTTTTATCTTGTCTTTTATTAGTGTCTATCATTTCGAATGCAAATAAAAATAAGTGAAATACAACCTCCGTCATAATTTTATTTATGCGTAATATATTTAATTACTCTTTTCCTCATATTTACATTTTAGTTTTAACGAATTTATTTCCAGACCATGGTGTAGATAGTCTTGGAAAAAACAGATAAATGCAGAATTTCTAGTAAGTTGCATCCAAATATATATTTTTTTTTCGGCTAATATAATATGTAAGTTATTCTTGTAATGTTTTATTATACCTATATTACATAATAATTCCCTGCTCGAAGATGTTTTCAATGTACATAAATATCATACGGTATTCCGTGCAATCTAATATCTATCTGAAATATTTTTCTCAG